ACTCTGCAGCAAGGGGTTTGGCATAAGAGCGGCGATACTGGGTCAGACCAAAGGTCCATCTAGCCCAGTATCCTGTCTTCTGACAGTGGCCAATACCAGGTGCCCCAGAGGGAATGAACAGAACAGGTGATCCATCCCATCGCCCATTCCCAGCTTCTGGCAAACATTGGCTACGGACACCATACCTGTCCATCTTGGCTAACAGCCATTGATGGACCTATCTTCCATGAACTTATCTAGTTCTTTTTTGAATCCTGTTATAGTTTTGGCTTTCACAACATATTTTGGCAAGGAGTTCCACAGGTTGACTATGCGTTGTGTGAAAAAATACTTCCTTTTGTTTGTTTTAAACCTGCTGCTTATTAATTTCATTTGGTGACCCCTAGTTCTTGTGTTATGAGAAGGAGTAAATAACACTTCCTTCTTTACTTTGTCCACACCAGTTATGATTTTATAGACCTCTATTATATCCCCCCTTAGTCATCTCTTTTCCAAGCTGAAAAGTCCCAGTCTTATTAATTTCTCCTCATATGGCAGCCATTCCATACCCCTAATAATTCTTTTCTGAACCTTTTCCAATTCCAATATATCTTTTTTGAGGTTGGGCGACCATACTGCACGTAGTATTCAAGATGTGGGCATACCATGGATTTATATGGAGGCAATATGATATTTTCTGTCTTGTTATCTATCCCTTTCTTAATGATTCCCAACATTGTTTGCTTTTTTGACTGCTGCTGCACATTGAGAGGATATTTTCAGAGAACTATCCACAATGACTCAAAGATCTCTTTGAGTGGTAACAGCTAATTTAGACTCCATCATTTTATATGTATAGTTGGAATTATGTTTTCCAATGTGCATTACTTTGCATTTATCAACACTGAATTTCATCTGCCTTTTTATTGCCCAGTCTAAACCAATTGGGCTTTCTCGAGAACAATGGATCAAAGCAGAACTCAACACTCCTATGACTGCAGGTGCATAGGGAGGAAGGCAAGGCTCCTGCATCAGTGCACATATCACATAGCGTTGTGATGCTGTTTAGCACATAATTTGCACATGATGGAACTTGTTTCCTAATTTTCATTTTTAAACATTTAGGAAATTGCAGACAAAAACTAAAATATTAAAAGAATGTTCAGTTTGCAAAATGAAGCACTCAAAAAAAATGGCCCTCTTTTGCTCATGCATTGTAGTTTAATGTTCAGTACTATTTCTTAACCAATATACCATAATACATTGCCATTCTTCTTTATAAGAAACATGTTTGTGGCACACTGTAGTAGTGATTACTACCATACCATTTCTGTAATTTTGAGTGCTTCACTATGCAACCTTATTGTTCTTTTAGGACAAATTAGTAAACATATTTAGAGGTTAATTGTAGCTTTGCTTCAGTCACCATTTGTGGTCAGCACATTTTTGTGCTGCCCCAGCAAAAGACCAGGAAGCATATTATGACTTGGAGACTTACAATCTGCCTACTGGTTTCTCCCAGGCCTTTACCTGACACAAGTACATCTTTCTCGTGGCAGTGCAGCTGCACAGGCTGGAGCATTGGGGGAGGAGCCAAGGTACCACAGATTTCCCACTCTCTCCCTGACCACCAATTTGGGCTGGATATATAGTAGCCTCACAAAGGGTGTCCCTCCCTCTGGGCCGTGACCCAAAGAGGCGTATCACAATTGTGTGAATCATCCCACAGGTTTCAATAATACCAGTTGTGTCAAATTTCTTCTCATGAGCATTTCTAATTTCTCTTGCAAATTCAGGTTTCTAGCATTGGCATAGAGGCAATGAACATTTGGCTTCTCTTCAGGTCCCTTGTCATCTTGATTTAATTTGCTTGTGATACCTTCCATTTGATACACTGTTTGTCCCATCAACACTGACCCCTGCTATAGTTTAATGCCTTCCAGACTCGTCTATCTTCGCTGTCACCCAGAAGATTTGTTCCCCTACTTCTGAGATTGAGGCCATCCAAAGTGTACAGCTCCTTTTTCTCATAAAAGGTAGCCCAGTGTTCCATGAAACCAACCCCCGACTTTATATCATTTACCTGGAGATCCCACTGAAGACAATGGGACTTAAAGAAGTGAGGCTATTGGGAACTCGCTCAGCTGCTAAGATCTTAGAGCAGTGCATCCTTTTACATGTCATGGGACCAAATCCTTCCCTGGTCTGTGTATGTACAACTGTTGTTCAATTCTGTGGGAGCCGTTTGTGTACAGCTGAGGGCAGAATTTGCCCCAATGATATGTGTTGCAACAGCTTGGCATAATAGGAGGGTGAGTTATAATTAAAGGCAGCATGAATTCAAATTTAGTATTTATTTATATTTTCCTTTATTAATTGAAATCAGACCTTCTATTTTATTTATATAAATAGGAATATCTTTTTAAAACAATAGTAAAAAAAAAAAAGGGGGTGGGGGAGAATTCATCCCATTAGCATGGAATGAGATCCACTGGTCCACAACACACTGTGACATAAACCATTCCTCTCTTTTTATTGACATCAGAGCAGTTCCAGACTTTTTGCCAGGAGTTTACAAACTGTTCTTACTACTGACACACATTCCATTTGGCTGGGAATCTGTGCAGTAAAAATAGTACTACACATTAGTATTCCCACTGCACAACCATCTTGGCAAGTGGAATAATTTATCAGTATGTAGTAAGCATGCTACAGAGCTCATTTCCTGTACTTGGACTTGTATTCATGACTGCACAAAACCCTTGCTCCAGGTTGATATCATAATTGCTTGGCTGGACCCATTGTAATGTGCATACAGTAAAATCTCCATAAAAGAAATCTTTATTAAGCTACCTCTTGTCCTAAAAGACCATCCCAAAGAATCCCCAAATGTACAAAGCACAATTCTGCTTCACCTGTTAGAAAACCACCTGTGTCAAACAACCGGTTTTTGTCTGTCCCCTGTGTGGTTACTTAAGATAGGTGTCTTGAAATAAAGTCCCTCTACAAAGCCTGGGTTTCACATAATATACAATATCGACAGTAGGGAAAGCCGACTGTATTAACCATATGTGAAATAATGATCAATATGAGTTTTAAAAAAAACATCAAATAGATATTTGGCCAGCAGAGCTATCTAATATCAATTTGAAAGATAAAGTTATTAGTTTTACCAATCAAGTGTCTGTTTAAAATAATAATGATGATAATAAATTGTACCTCTGCTGAAAAAGTCCATGTCAAGTTTCAAGCCAAATGTGAATAAAAATGGCTGGATGATCAGAATCTTTTTTTTTAAAAAAAAAAGGTTTATAGTGAAAACACTGGAAATATTGACAGAATCTGAGCTGTGGAGGTGCTGCCAGGTGACACTAATTACAAACAGGCTTTTTGCCAAGTGAAGTGCAGCAAGTTCAGTTGACTCTCAGGTGTGGAGTGTGTTTTTCTTACCCCTATTAGCTGTTAGTCTGTAGGCCCATATGTTGCTCCAGTGAGGTTAACAGAAATCTACTGCTTTTATTCTTTGTGACAGTTTTGTACTGTGCATTCATTACATGTTGGGTTGGCCTTTCCTGCAATATAATGAGGACAGACATTTTTATTTGCATGTATTGTGGCATAATTTCATTTTGCCATGATTTTAAATGTAAGTTGCTTTCAATCAGTGTTTTGGCCTTGGCTTTACTTCTGACTCTGTCCAGCAAGAGTCACAATCCATGGTACAATCCATGTTTTTTGAAATTGTACGTATCCCTATATGTTTTGGAAGTTGGCTTGATACGTGCTTTCTCTGTCAAGGCCTGATCAAAATCCCACTGAAGTAAATGGAAACAACTCCTCTTGACTTCAGTGAGCTTTCAGTCAGGCCCCAAATACACCTCTACCCTGATATAACGTGGTCCTTGGTAGCCAAAAAATCTTACCGCATTATAGGAGAAACCGCGTTATATCGAACTTGCTTTGGCCTCAAGCATTTCAGTTATTAATAGTCACTTCCCGCTCCTTGACTGACCCCTCAGAACCCCCGACACATCCAACCCCCCCAGCTCCTTGTCCCCTGACTGACCCCTCCAGAGACCCCCCCGCCCTAACCACCCCTCCCAAGACCCCACCCCCTATCTAAGCCCCCCTGCTCCTTGTCTCCTGACCGCCCATCCAGAGATGCCCCCATCCCTAATCACCCCCAGGACCCCACCCCCTACCCAACCCCCTTGCTCCCTGTCCCCGACTGCCCCGACCCCTATCTACACCCCCGCCCCTGACAGGCCCCCCGGGACTCCCATGCCCTATCCAACGCTCCCGTCCCCTGACCACCCCGCCCCCAGAACCTCCGAACCATCCAACCCTCCCCACTCCCTGACCGCCCCCCCGAGACCCTCTGCCCCTTATCCAACCCCTCGGCCCCAGCCCAGCACCCTTAACACGCCGCTCAGAGCAGCATGTCGGAGCCAGACACGTTGACGCACTGATCCGCTGGAGCGCACAGCCCCACCCCCCAGAGCGCTGCTTTACCTTGTTATATCCGAATTCGTGTTATATCGGGTTGCGTTATATCAGGGTAGAGGTGTACAATAAAGTAATATAATTGAGAGACTAAAAAATTAATACCTTTGATTACTCTTTGAAATTTCTGGGACAAGATAATAAAAGGTGTTATTGTAATCAAGATAATAAATAGCATTGTACTGTGGTAGATTCTGACATTAGAACATTTGTTTTCATTCTGAATCAGAACAAAAAGTCAAAATGTTGAAATTTTTCTTGGAACAGAAATTCCAAGCAATTTTGATTAGGAAACGTCAGAATGTTTTGTTTCAATAATGTTGAATTGTTTCATTTTGACAATGTCCCAATATTTTGTTTGGATAAGGTCAAAACATTATAACACAATATCAAATATGTGTATAATATGAAATATAATATTATATAATATCATAGTTTAATATGTTAATATACAGCCAACAAAATGATCAAATCAAATCTAAATGTTTTGATGTTTTTGAAATGAAATGAGAAAGCTGAAAGAATAATTTAGTCCAAATCAACGTTACCCTGAAATGTTTTGATGTAGATGAAACATTATTTTTCAATGGAAAACTGTCCCATTGAAAAAATTTCAACCAGCTCTACTGTTAACCCTTTATTGTTTGTGAAAGCAGGTTTTAGTATTAGAAACTTGATCAAAATAAAAATTTTACTTTTAATCAGAACTGACCACATCCACAGCTTAAGGTTGTTGACCTCACATAGGGAGAAATTTGCAACCTCTGCAATACAACAAAGTCGTCCCCCCCCAGTTTCAAAGCAAACAATTTCATGTTGTTTCTCTGCATAAATACACAATGGTAAACTTTGTATCAAAACTCTCATAAATTATAAGTGTTCTTTAGATTAGTTGTATGTCATACACATCCATTATAGAAAAGTTCTGACTCTCAGGTGAATCTTAAGGAACTCACACATAGTCATTTAATCTGTAGCCACTCTGTGAAGCAGATGTCAGCGAAGAAGCATGGTTTCCCTTGTAGGCAGTTGGTGGTCTATATGAGGGAGCAGCCCTTGTTGTGCTTCTTGGTTGTGGCTGGTAAGGTATGTTGTTCCCAGCACTCTGGCATGATGAACACAGTAGAGCTCCGCCAAGTATAGTCAAAGATGCAGAGAAAAAGCCGAGGTAAAGAGCTTGCCCTATCTCATACTTCATCCCGTTGGGAAGCATGGGGTTGTAAAAATCTGTAACCACATCATTAGTAGTCCAAGAAACAGGAACCAGGCATATGAGACCAGCCAGGATGAAAAAGATTCCACCAGAGACAGCGAGAGAATTTTTGGCAGAGGCCCCTTTGACACATCGAGTGCAATGCATGCCAATAACAGACACCACACATGCCAGTGTGGAAATAAGACAGGAAATCACCATCATGGCACGAGCTGCTTGAAGGTCACGAGGCAGTGCAAGCTGAGATCGATGGACCTGGCACTGGTAGATGCCAGTGCTATGCCAGACACACTCCATCCAGAGCCCCTTCATGTATGCCACAGCTGTTATAATGTTGGTGCCTACATATGCCATCCTCCACCAGTGAGGCAGAATAGTAGTAATTAATGTTCCAATTAGACCAAAGAGACTTAGTAAGAAGCCCAGTAACTGAACAGCCATGCTTGCCATGTTAATGTTTGTCCTAATTATTCCCTTTAATAATGTATCTCTGGTTGGCTTCCTTCTGAAAACACAAGCTTTTTCTGGGAGATATGCAGCAGTTTTACTCTGACACCTTCTGGACTCTTAATAAAAGGTAATTGAGGAAAAAGAAGTTAAATATTACCTAAATGCATTATTTCTCTAACCAGTAAGATGCATTTCAAGTGCAATTAGCATAGTTATGGTGGTTAATGATGTTTTGTGGAAGCAGTGGGAAAGTAAGCTTCCCTCTTCACTTATGTAAACAGGCTGGGGAAAAACCTTCAGGCAAATTATGCAATTGAAAAAATATTTTAAAATAAAATATTCTTCTTCCCAACAGACTCCTCAGAGAAACATGACTTCCTTTCTAAAGTAGAAAATTAACAAGTGTTAACACTTGGATTTATAAAGCAGACATCTGAAAGCTACTTTACATGATGAAAACATTTCCAAAAGTTCATAGCAGGACTACAAAAACAATAAGGGTATATTTGCTCAAACTAGAGAGCAGAGAGAGTGATTTAAAATCTGTGGAAGAGGATAACAAGTATTGGATTAAAGTTTCCTTCCCTACCCTAGTTGCCAGTATTTCTTGAGGTTTTATTTTATTAAAGCAACTCAAAGAGGAATAACTTTCATTAGTCCCTATGGAGACTCAGTTTATGACTTCAGTTTGTGGGCTACATGACAGCATGTTAAACCAGATGTGCATCACACATCTTCTGAGGAGCAATGCCTCACCGTTTCAGAAGAATATCTCATAACAAATTCTACCATAAAAAGCCCTTACAAGAAATAGGAACTCTTCCTTCTGTATAAATCTTAGTTACAGTTATCTATACTAAATTGCTCCCTTGCAAGGTCTGTATTATCTGTGGGGGCAAAATCTTTCTATATTAATACATAAAGTACTCATGCATCAAAGTCCAGCTAGGAACTCAGAAACAGAAGCAAATTTACATCCCAGTCCTGCAAAGATTTATGCACCGGCTGAACTCGTATTTAAAAGTAAGAATGTGCATAAGTATTTGGGGGACTGGGCCTTAAAGGATACATGCACACACAAAAAATGACTGGTCGGACTAGTTACCAAAGTACACAGGACTCTGAAGACTCTTTGGTATAAAGAAGTAACAGAGAGTCAAAAATCAGTGCTGATTTGCTCCCTATCCACCCAAACAAAAGGTGGGATTAAGTGGTTTACGGAAGCACAAAGGTTACAAGATTGAGACAAGGTGGATGAGGTCAGGTCTGAAGAAGAGCTCTGTGGAGACCTTCTCTCTTTCACCAACAGAAGTTGGTTCAATAAAAGATATTCGCCCGTGCTGTCTCTCTCATATCCTGGGACCGACACGGCGACAACAATACTGCACACAACAATGAAGATTGTGAGATAAACTCATTGTCATACATGTTAATTCTTTTTTCTAATTTTTAGTTTCTATATTAATACATAGATACAGAGTGGGAATGAGGGTGATATTAATTGACATCAGTGGAAAGGTAACTGGCAAATTTAGCCATGATGGCTTGAATATAAAAGCAAAACCAAAGAAGAGCAAAACAAAAAGAATAGCTTTGTTTTTGCTTGACTACTTTTAGAAGGTATTTTATTGTTTGTAACTTCTATTATGGCTGTATGATCTTTCAGCTCCACTGTGCCTATTTTTTAAATGACAATGGAATGTTTTATGTTGTTGCTAAGTAATCTTCTTGATTTGATAATGATAAAATTAAGATAATGATAAAAGTCACAGCATTTTGTTTAGAAACTCCCCTCATCATTGTTCCTGCTGAACATTTCTGCATCCCGCTGCACGGTGTCAGGTGGGATCATACCACAGATTTCTTTCTCTCTGTCATGGCTGAGTTGAAGTAATGTGCCATAACAGGACATAATCAAGGGTAAAGCAGAGCATGTAGCAAGTCATAGGAACAAACAAAATGGAAATCTCCAGTAATACAAAATACTCAATTTACCACAGTTTGTTCAGGCAAGAAAAACTCTTAAATGCCGTATTTCTAGTTTTTCTTTCTGTGCAATATTTTATTATTTCTATCTATTCATTTTTTCTATGATGCTCATTGTAGTACCTGAGAATTCCACCTACATTAAAGAATTAATCCTCAGAACACCCCTGTGGGGTCAGGAAGTGGTGTTATCTCCATTTTTAGATGGAGGATTGAGGCACAAAGGGGCTAAGTAACTTACCCAAGATCACACAGGCAGTCCGTGACAGATCTGAAAATGGAGCTCAGGTCTCCTGCCTCCTAGTCAGTTCCTTAGACGCAACACCATCCTTCAGTCTCAGTTTCATGGTTGTCCGGTTTCTCCCTTGATCCATTTGGTATTGTTTACCTATGCATGGATAAAGATTGAACCCAAGATTATAATCCATCTAATTAATCAATGAACACATTATAGCTGCATATTGAGCACCATTTGCAAGTCCACTTTAGATTACTTCTGAATGTTTGCAAAAGGTTTTCAAGGTCAGGCATTAGGCTTTGCAGTTAATCCCAAAGAAAACAGGATATAAAAGTTAAATGTGATTTACACCAGTAGCCACAGGAAATGGACTTCCAGATTTAATGGAGGTCAAAACACTCAGGCTTGGCAGCAGCTATTTTTAGAAATCATTAAGGTGTTATTTTTAAACCTTAGCTCTTAAAGTCTTTTTAATTTAGGAAACTGGCCTTAATTAGCCCCACTTGTTTGACGTCATGTTTTCCATGTTCGGTGTTTAGCTGGGGCCAACTTCTACTAGTGTTAAGTAATGCTTAACTACTGTAGAACACCTTTGCACTCTTTACTTAGTTGTGGCAAAAATAACTGTAAATTAACACATTTTATCTCAAAGAACGTCAATCGTTTTGTTAAAATACCTTGACCTATGGCTTTGTTTCTAATAGATTACCCTATGAACATGGCCACCAGCAGTAGAGCTGTGTCCTGTTGTGAATGGCTGAATGAATAGTGCAGTCAATAGCTTGCAGATGGGCGCAGGTTACATGCTAGAGCATAGGCGAAGCCATCCATTCTACACTGATCTCGGTTCTCGTCATTTTAAGAAAATGCAGATGAGATGTAGCCTTAACAGGCCAGAGAAGCAATCCAACCTGTGAAGAAAGCTTGTTTTAGTTGGCACTGTTATTTTGGGGTATTTCATTAAGTGATATGGTCCCATAACTCCAAGCAGGCCCTGCACTGCAGCCCAGAATTAAACAAGGCGAGGGAGAAGCAGGACAGCCTGCACAGCATTCAGATTGAGTTTTCACGACTCAGCCCATCCGCAAACCAAAAGGTTGTAAAAAGTAATGTGTAAATCTGTGAAGAGCAGCTGTGAAAAACTTGTTTTCTTATGCCAGCTCATGCCATCTTTATTTAATAAGTAAAATGGTAGGAAAGCCAGCTTTTCCATATAAACTTTTATGTTGTCTAATACCTGTGTGATATAGGAATAGCTATATTGCACTCACTATACATAGGATACTTCTTTTGGTTTGTTCTCCCCTGTATCATACTACAGCTGTATTCGTTTTGGGAGACCTGTCTCCTAATTAAGCTCCAATTAAGCAGTAGAAACCAATGTTTCTAATCTGTGTATTTACCCAGAATTAAAAGACGGATGCAGGTTTCACTGATGTCTCTTTCATTGTTTCTCATTTTACTATTTCTCCACCCATATCAATCTCATCCTTTCATGGCTGTTCTTTTACAAGTGCTTTCTCCAGACCCATAAAATGCCTCGTTCTTGTGCCGACTGCAGTGAGTCTCATCCCTCTTTTCTTCTGCTGCTCATAATAAAGTTCTGCCAATGGAATTTTTAATCCAATAATTCCTTTCTCTCCCTCTATATCCTTACCTAACTCTGTTTTCATTTCAACCCCTCAAATTCCACTTTAACTTCTCTTAATAACACTGAAAATCTGATAAAATAACATTAGGGCTCAGATTATTTTGTCTTTTGTTGTCTTTCTCTTCTCACGAGTAAATGAAAAGACCACATTCAAATTTGTGCTCATGAAAGTGAAATGCTGAAAATTCTTGCCAGAACAAGGACATAGTGATACCAAACAGAATGCAACTCAGTATTCATCGATCCTGATCTATAACACAACTAATCCTGTTATTTCTGGGCCTTTGTGAGCAATGATGCTAAAGTTTGTGGTGGGGTTTTTATTTATTTTTTATTTGGGCAAATATTCATTAGTATGTAGGATCAAAACCATGAAATTATTGCATTCCATTTGTGCCTTCGGTTGAAATTTGAACTCAGGACTTCACAAGTGTATTAACCCACTGCTCCATATACTGTAGTGTCCCTTTATTTCCTTGTGTGTCTTTAAAAATTTATTGATTTTCCTCTTCATTACTATCTAGCAAAGGCTAAATAAATGATGTATAATCGTCTTTGCTTTTGTACTCTATATACATTTAAGTTAAATAATTAGAAACACAGTATGATATGTAAAGGGGAATTTATTTTATAACTGGTATCACTTGTTCCTCTCGCTTCTTCTCAGTAGAGGTTCAGGACTTGATGCTAGTCAGATCTAAGATGCATTGGCAGAACTGTATGAGGAAGCTCACACAAGGTCTAGCTGCAGAAGGTCCGTTTCATTGATATTTTGTTCTGGTCTACATAGATTATTATACCACTCTCATCATCATACTGTTTTCAGTAGTTCATAAAGTGACGTGAATAATATCAGTTACGTGGGATATTCATCTCTCATTTTCACGTGCAACAAATTCCCTTTATAGAGTACTCCAGCATCCCTCAGTTGTCTGCTTTTTTACCCCAGTGCTAAAGGTCTTGAATTGCAAGGAATTTCCCTCCAGTGGACAAGAAGAAGGCTGAATACAGCTACTTCTGTAGCCTGTCAGTGCTGCTGTATGCACACACCATGAGGATACTAGACAAAAGGAGTCATCCTGTCCCCTGCCTTGCACCTTGTACAGTCACTTAGACTGCAATTCA